AAGTGAAAACTCAACTCCTTGCTTAAATATGTTTTGGTTTATTTTTGTCTATCTTTTTATGTACTAATGAATGAATTATAATCATTTTTATTTATTTATTTATTTATCATCTTTTTTTTTTTTTTTTTTTTTGGCGGGGGGGGGGGGAGGGTATAGGCCTACCCAATGTAGTTGTTTCGTAGACCAGGGGCGGATCCAGGATAATTTGAAGGGTCTTCACATCCGCGCCCCCCCCCCCCCCTCCCAACGCCACTGGGGTTCAGGGCCCGGGAAAAACTTTGGTATTTTGGAGGGGGAACGGTGCCATTTAGTACGGTTAAAACTATGATTCAGCTAGTCAAAATTGTAATTTCAAGAGGGGACCAGAAATTTTTTCGCGGGCCTGACCCCTCTAAATCCACCACTGTAGACCCTTATAGACTACATAGTAGGCCTAAACTAACATACATGTAGTTTCACAAGTAAGGTTGGAAAACTAGTATCTGAACTGATTACGGTATGTTGAAAGCCCATTAATTTACTAAAGACGCTAGGAGATTTTGATAAGTGACGAGTGTATGTAAGACTTCAGATTTTATTTATGTGCCTTTTTTGTTGTTTCAGGAACTTAATTGAACTGCCAAAAGGAGGCGCTGTTGTTCGTTATGGAGGGAAGAAGAGGTCGCGGCGACCGGGCGCCTGAACAACAGGTCGATATCCTTAAAACTTCATTGATAAGGATTAAAGTGTAGCTTAGAGTGATGTACATGCGCAATGTTTGCATAGGTAGATTAAGGGTGAGGGGGGGGGGGGACGAGGACAAAAAAGATCTTTTCTTTTCCATAATAAATGCCCACTATTATTGAAGGGTGAGGGGGGGGGGGATGGAGATACTCTCATCACGATCACCGTGGCACCACACCATTTAGCCTGAGAAAATTATATGTTTGTCAGCGGTTTGAACGTTGAGGTTTATCTTGACAATTTTAATTGTCATATTAAAATAAATTAAAATAGGACTTGGCGTTAAAAGCTAGCACGGGTAACGTTCTTAATTGATATTAGGGACATTTTAATTGATTCAAGAAATTGATTCAAGAAATACATGTTAACTTACCGTTATTTTATTTATTTATTTATTGTTGTTAATTAATTAATAAATATTTTGCCAGTTTCCTGTAGATCCCAACACAACCCACATAGGTTACCCACCAGTGCCGCCCCAGAGTTACTATCAGTATGGTCAGGAGGGCAATGTGCAAGCCATGCCTTTTGGCCCTAATATCGACTACCAGGGATTTGCCGGTTACCAAGGTGACTTTGGTTACTATGGATATGAGGTGAGTAAATGAGATAAGCACAGAGGTCAGAGGTCAACCTAGAGGTCAGAAGTCAAGGCAGAGGGCAATCATTCACCTATTTAGTGATGATTATCATCCATTAATTGCATTAATTTCTTAAAGGAATTAATGATAGATTGACTTAAATTGAAATTAAATTGAATTGACTTGATTGAATAAATAAATAAACAAATGATAAATAAATAAATAAACAGATTAATTAATTAATGAAAAATGATAAAAATTATCACATTTTGTTGTCTAACATAATATTGACAAAGGTGACATATTCTATTAATACTTCTACTTTCCATTATTACAAATGAATACAGTACTTATGATATGTCTTAATGCATTTTTTTTAAATTTTGTTTAATTTCCAGGGTCAGTACCAGGGATATGACATCAGCGACCTGAGGAACGACATAAAACTTCTCAATACTACGGTGACGGGAAAATTTAATGAACTATCCGAAACCATGCAACAGATCAAACATCTGGGTGCAGCAATGAAGGCAATGGACCAGAAGATAGACGCGGCTCTCCAGGCGTCAGCCGGGGCGTCCCTCGACAAAAGCGTTCTGTCCAGGCTTCAGGAGCACGAGGACAAACTGGCGTCTATGGCTCTGGTTATAAACGGATGGCAAGCGTTCGACATTGAGCAGTGCGAATCCCTCGCCTCAACACGCTCTGATATGTTGGATTCCATCGGAGGCAGAGGTAAACCTGATCAGTCCAGGGGAAATAAGATAGCATCGGATTTTAGAAAAAAAAGCTGTTATTTATTTATGTATTAATTATGTAATTAATAAATTAATTCGTATTTTCTTTTTATTTATTTTTTGTTGTTTGAAAAGAAATACACAGTTAATTATACTATAATTTGGACTGCCATTTAACATTTTTATTAAGCTACCAATATAAATTGGTTATACGTATGATTACATGTATTTATGAGGGTCAAACCAAAAAAAAAGTCTCTTTGTTATGTACAGACACAGATGTGTCTGTACATATAGCCATCATCTGCGTCTGTCGTCGCCGTCGGCGCCGTCGTCGCCGTNTATATTTATTTATTTATTTATTTTATTTTTTTGGGGGGCGGGGGGTATAGGCCTACCCACTGTAGTTGTTTCGTAGACCAGGGGCGGATCCAGGATTATTTGAAGGGGGGGGGCGGATGTGAAGGAGGGGACCAGAAATCGAAGGGGGGGGGGGCAGGACCCCCCACCCCCTGACCTCCCTCTAAATCCACCACTGTAGACTATATAGTAGGCCTAAACTAACATAGTTTCACAAGTAAGGTTGGAAAACTGATTCTGGTATCTGAACTTATTCCGGTTCGTTGAAAGCCCATGAATTTACTAAAGATGCTCGGGGATTTAGATAAGCGACGAGTGGATGTAAGACCTCAGATTTTATTTATGTGCCTTTTTTGTTGATTCAGGGACTTAATTGAACTGCCAAAAGGAGGCGCTGTTGTTCGTTATGGAGGGAAGAAGAGGTCGCGGCGACCGGGCGCCTGAACATCAGGTCAGTATCCTTAAAACTTCATTGATAAAGATTAAAGTGTAGCTTAGAGTGATGTGCATGCGCAATGTTTGCATAGGTAGATTAGGGGTGAGGGGGGGGGGACAAGGACAAAAAAGACTTTTTCTTTGCCATAGTAAATGTCCACTATTATTGAAGGGTGAGGGGGGGGATGGAGATACTCTCATCACGATCACCGTGGCACCACACCATTTAGCCTGAGAAAATTATATGTTTGTCAGCGGTTTGAACGTTGAGGTTTATCTTGACAATTTTAATTGTCATATTAAAATAAATTAAAATAGGACTTGGCGTTAAAAGCTAGCACGGGTAACGCTCTTAATTGATATAAGGGACATTTTAATTGATTCAAGAAATTGATTCAAGAAATACATGTTAACTTACTGTTATTTTATTTATTTATATATTGGTGTTAATTAATTAATAAATATTTTGACAGTTTCCTGGAGATCCCAACACAACCAACATAGGTTACCCACCAGTGCCGCCCCAGGGTTACTGTCAGTACGGTCAGGAGGGCAATGTGCAAGCCATGCCTTTTGGTCCTAATATCGACTACCAGGGATTTACCGGTTACCAAGGTGACTTTGGTTACTATGGATATGAGGTGAGCATTGGCAGGTCAGGTCAGAGGTCAGGTTAGAGGTCAGAGGTCAGGTTAGAGGTCAGAGGTCAAGGCGGAGAGTACTCATTCACCAATTTAGTGATGGTTATCATCTATTAATTACATTAATTTTTTGAAGGAATTAATGATAGACTTATAAATAAATAAATAAATAAATAAATAAATTTGCAAGACACAGATCACATCGTGCTGTTTAATATGATGATAAGAAAGATGAATATTCTACTACTTCTACTCTACATTATTACAAATAAGTACGACACAAATGATATGATATTAATGCAGTGTTTTGTGCTCCAGGGTCAGTACCAGGCTTATGACAACAGCGACCTGAGGAACGACATAAAACTTCTCAATACTACGTTGACGAAGAGATTTAATGAATTATCCGAAACCATGCAACAGATCAAACATCTAGGTGAAGCAATGAAGGCAGTGGACGAGAAGATAGACGCTCTCCAGGCGTCAGCCGGGGCGTCCCTTGACAAAAGCGTTCTGTCCAGGCTTCAGGAGCACGAGGACAAGCTGGCGTCTATGGCTCAGGTTATAAACGGGTGGCAAACATTCGACATGGAGCAGTGCGAATCCCTCGCCTCAACACGCTCTGATATGTTGGATTCCATCGGAGGCAGAGGTAAACTGGATCAGTCCCGGGGAAATAAGAAAGCATCGGATTTTGGAAACAAGGCAGTTTATTTATGTATTAATTGATAAATTTATTCGTATTTTTCTTTTTATTTATTTTTTATTGTTTGAAAAAATACACAGTTAATTATACCATAATTTTGACTGCCATTTAACATTTTTATTAAGCTACCAATATGAATTGGTCATACGTATGATTACATGTATTTATGAGGGTCAAACCACAAAAAAAGTATCTTTGATTTACTTTAGCCACGCTCAGATTTTCTTGTTTTATACTTCAGTAATTCTTCAATATGAAAGAAAAAACAAATTAAAAAGTTATAGACTATGAATTAGTACTGAAAATATCACACAAGGTGGGTGCGTCACTGCCGTGTCGTTGCACTTTCCTTTGACATCATCCGTTTCACTTTTGTTGTAGCTGAGGTGATGAAACCCCAGTTTGGGCAACAGATATCCACCGATGAATCAAAGCTATCTGACACCGAGCTAACTGCCCCAAATCCAGACGTGTTACCCAATTACTCGGTAAATCGGTGATTTTTATATATATTCAAGAGATATGAATGAATACATGAAGATATATGAATGGATTTTGGGGGTTTTAATTACCACGTATAGGGAGGGTTTTTTTTGTTAATAAATCAACAGAATATCGCGTTTATGTTTACTTTTAAAAAATACAACATGCCATTATGAAAAAATCAAATAGCTTATATTTATGCTTAAATTTTACGACGGTTTAATCCTCAACATTACATACGTACATTTGTTAAAAATAGTTGATTAAGTTGATTATTAAGTGGATTGTTTCATCTTATTAAAGTCGGCAACAGCAACTGCGAGTGGGGATGAGAATTCAGGGGAAGAAACGTCCTTAAAAACCACAGCGCCATCTAGTAGACGGAGTGATGATCCAGCTACGCCAGTAGACCAGACACAAGTCTCCGGGGTCTCATCGTAAGCATTGGAATCATTTTATCTGATTGTTTAATCTACCTTTCGTTTGAAATGACTTGGTTTGACTAACAGGAACAAGCAAATGTACATGTATTAAATAAAAAGCATCAGACGATCATGTTCTGTTGACTTTAAATATATCAGCTGTAAGGTATAGAAAGGAACAAAGACCAAATACAGGATATTACTCTAGAGAAAGACGTACTGCATGCTTGCAAGCCCTCTGATTAAGGGGGGGGCAATGCCCATGGTCGGGACATATCAAAGACCATTAAAGAACTACCAGTTGTTGTTTCCCCTCTAAGCATTCACCATAGGGCCCATACGGAATAGGGGACTAACTAGTCCGAGGGTCAAATATGGCTAACCCACTTGAATAATTCCCCACAGGGAATCTATTCAGTGTCTATTAGCGGATTAGACGGCAAGCTTTGTAGTGGGTCGTCATATTTGATTCTCGGACTAGCTAGTTCTAAAGAACTATGAGATAACCAATTAACGACATTTTCCTTTATTCAAACATTGTTCGAAAGTCATACAGAAAAGAAATTGGGCTATATTGATTGTAAGATCGAAGGTAAATAAAGTAGTGGATTTCATGGAATCTTTTTTTATTCAAGAGTTCCCGTTGAAAGCAACCAACAATTGAACCCAGCTCCAACCACGCTGGCACCACCTGTTGACGGGACACCCCTTGAGGAACAATCAGGTTAGAACATGTGAACAGAATTTCTGGAATCAACAGCTTGAATCTTTAGTGAAATAAAGAATACTTCCCACCAGCTTCTACGTGTGTGTTCTAGCTGTTCTTTCTGTTGGAAATCCCAGTGTGGATCATTCGAGATAGCATAAGGGCCCATTCACGAAGAAACTGTCGTTCTACGTAGATCGACCCAAGCCCGAATTCAAATCAGATAAACAGATTAACTCGCCTCCTCTTGTTTTCCACGTACTCAAATAATAACCAGCGTTTCTGTATTCTACTCATAAGGAGGCGTGATGAGCTCTAATCTGATTGCATTCAGCAAGAGTCCCCTTGGACTAGGGTCGATCTATGTAAAAGAATAGTTTCATTAGAAATGAGCCCTAAGGCTGCTGGTTTATCTGGGGATCCCTTGTATTGATATATTGTGTATTAGCCAGTGTTCCACGAAATGATGTGATATGCTTAGTGATAAAGATAGCAGTTGTGATAGCTGAATACGAAACTAGGTTACATAATCATTTCATGGTCTCATATAAAAGAAACAAAATAAAGTTTGGGACATTTTATAAATTGGATTCATTTTAGAATTTGTTAGATTGTTTTGGTGTACTTCTGCTTATCTTTTTCCACCTCATTTGTGTGACATTCACCGCCTGGTTTTAAATGTAGCAATGGCATCACGGTTCGCTAATAAACCTTTCTCTGGTATATTACATCAAAATATACTGTCTTGTTCCTTGATTGTAGCGACATCTATTTCTTTCCAGGTTCCATGACACAGTGGCAAAGGGATATAATACGGAAAAACTTCGTGTTTCTTGTTGACAACTTACGGATGGCGCCACTATACCCCTACTTATACGAAGATGCTGTTATAGCGGAGTCGGACCGCGAAACCCTTGATAGTAAAAAATTTAATAAAGAGAAAAACATGTATTTCCTAGTGCATGTGTTTCCTAAGCGAGGTGCACGCGCGTTTGCGTCTCTAAAACGAGCACTCACAAAGACGGGGAGTGATTTCATTGTGGAGGCACTGGAGGGAAAGAAAAGTACGCTAAACATGCTCCTCTTCTTCTTTCTCTTCTTCTTCTTCTTATTATTATTATTATTACCTCCCTGAATCTAGATAAATAAAATGTAGCCCTAATGTCAAACTCATACATGCTTTGCTAATAACGACATATATGTGTGTGTGGGGAAAATACTGTTAGATATACACGCACAGGTCAGAGGGAATTCTCAATTCTTATATTTCTTATAGATGATTGTAGAAGTAACAAGAATTATTTCATGGCTATATTTCCATCCTAGGATATGTCCACGGGGAATTGGAAGTACGTCCGATCACCCAGGTGCAAGGGCCTCATACCGACACTGTACAAATGCAGATGGCCACGGCGGAATCCGTGCTTCAGAATGATATCCTGAACGACCAAAAGAGGCGGAAAGATGTCATCGATTCTCTTATCTGGCTACCAACTTCCCTGCAAGTTGAGTATATTTCCCAGGGAAGTCTCATCTTTCACCTGAAGTTTGGAGACTTGGACCAACTGGACGCGTTCTGGCAGTGGTCACGTGGGCGGGACTCCCCGTTGAAAAGACATTTGGAGTCTTCACTGCTGACAGACGATATCCGCCATCTTGTTCCCGGGCTTAGGTTGACACTGGACATAACTACGCCCATGACGTGGGCAGAGTACCTTAAAAGACGAACACTTTTAGGGGGTAAGAATTTATGCTTTTACTAATTTGTGTGATAATTCGAGCAGCAAGATCTTAAATCGGGGACAATGAATTTGACAGTCTTTGTGAACCAAGGTTTATTCCGTGACTCATTTTGTCATTGTATCATAATGAATACTGTGATAAAATGCTATCTTTTTAAAAGAATATTTTATATTTCAAATGAATATGCCATGGTAACTTTTGTTGCATAATTTGTAGTACAAAAATGAATTGATCATACTTTAATTTCCCCACAGGTAAATTCTTAGACGGCTGCAGAGACGACTTTGTCGACCGCGGTCCACGGAAAGACCACCCCCCTTCCGCCCCCAAAGTGGCGGCATTATTGGATTCCACCCGTGCCTTACCTTCAAATGTCCCTACATCAAAAGACGTTTCTCTTTGGGCGTTTGAGGATGGGCGTTTTGATGTTGTGACAAAAATGCCTGCTTTTCGTAATGAAAATAAAAACTTTGCATTAGATGATCTCAAGCGCGAGCGGATGCAGAGATACTTGCAGGCTAGGGAGAAGCAAGTTGCTTCCCTGCAGAAACAACTCGATGACTGCAATCAGGAACTTGAACATAATAAACGTGAGCGGATACGAAGGGATGGCGAGTTCGAACGCCTTTCTAATGTCCTCGGAGAAACCAATGGTAAAATTCTACAGAAGGAAATGGAGTTGAACGATCTTCGGCAAAGGTGCAACCGAAGTGCTGGAGCAATGCAAGAAAAGGAGCATGAAATCGCGGCACTGCAAAGTGAAGTTGTGAAACTTACCAACGCTCTTGGAGAAAAGACTGAAGGAATTGCTGTACAAACGCTCAGGTCACAACTGAAAGCAGAGATGGAGAAGGTTGAAAAACTTCAACAAAGTGTTGAGGAGGCAGAGCTAACAACATTAGCATTTGAGGTTCTAGCCGAGGATGTAGGAAAATTTAAAGTGACCGCGGGCCAAAGATGTATGGCGTTAGAGCTGGGTAGAAAAACACGACATCTGGAGAAGGCAGAAAACCGTCTACAACAAGCAGAAACTAAAATTGAAACACTCGAATCAGAAAAAGCTGATCTGTTAAAGGCTTTAAATTCATGTGAAAAGTTTTTGGAAAATCGTCAAGACATGACAGAACAAAATCTCATAGTTGATTTAAAGCAATTAACTAACAGGTTCTTTTGTAAACCTGGTGGACAACAAGGTGAAAATATCAAACCTAATGGTGCGGAAGGATATGGTGTTCCTTCAAAAAAAGCTAGCGCTGCCGACCCAATTCTAAATGAAGGTCACTTCGAGACCGAGCCTGGACTGCCCCTCGAGCAGACGATAGAACAAACAACAAAAGTACAGACAATTCCGAACACAAAAGATCAGCAGAAAGAAACGCCGCCGCCCAGTGTATCGAAACCAATAACTGATCCAAGAACAGGAAGTAAGTGTGTGTGTGTGTGTGTGTGTGTGAGAGAGAGAGAGAGAGAGAGAGAGAGAGAGAGAGAGAGAGAGAGAGAGAAAGGATGGAGGGTTGGACGGCAAGAGAAGATTTAACTAGTCTAATTGTTGACGAATAATGACTGTAGTCTAATGTACGAAACGCGTTCACTTTTTGTAACCACACACACACATTTATTTATTTATTTATTTATTTATTTATTTATTTATTTATTTTGTTTATTTATTTATTTATTTCTTGTGTCGTCCCCCAGGATGGAGTAAGAGGAAGACAAGCGGTCTGGACACTGTGCTGTGTGTGGACGTCTCTGGCAGTATGCAAGGAGAGCCCTTCACTCGGCTGAAGAGAGGGATTAACCAGATGCTGGACGGTACATGATGCCAGCGTTGTCTTTAAAGATTAACCAGAATCAGATGATGCATGCAGTATAACAGGGGCAATTCCGAAAATTTAGAATAATACTAGTACCAAAATTTAAAAGTGAAATTTAGCACTTATTTTGAAGTTTTAATTAAATTAATGATTTTGGAACTTTCTCGAAAGTTGGAAATATTAAGAACTGGTCCAGTGACAGTCCCAGTTGGCGAACTTTTGTCTTTTTTTGTACAGTTGATTTTACTTGCCTCACTTCACGAAAGGTACCGGTAGATTTGGTAAGACATGAAACCAAGCGTTACGTGTTTTGCTGAGAAATATGTCAGTTGGAAACCATTACATGAACATGAATTTCCCCTTTTAATAAAGATGACATTTATATAATTAACTGGCGACTCTATAAACAATTTCATTTAATTTGTTGAGCATTGTGTAAAATTGGTTAGATTGGATTCTGTATAATTTTTCATTTCTGTTATTTGCACCAGATATATGTGTGATCCTAGTTATTATTTTCTGTTCTCAGACATGGAATATGCAAACAACATCTACGAGTTTGAAGAGGACGTGGCTTTGGTGACATTTGGGGGAGAAATTGCGGCGACTGTAGTGCCTCTTACCACGGATTACTACCAGATAAGACGTGCACTAGGTACATCTTACCCTCCTCTCTCTCTCTCTCTCTGTGCGTGCGTGTTTGAAGAGAGTGTATGTTTGCTTTCATGTGTGTCTGTGTGTGACTTTTTTCATTCTTAAGTTCATCTAACCAATGATTATATGACCTCATTATTGATAGACGTGAGGTCATTGGCAAAGCTTTTTGACTAGTGCAATGCAGTCAGTTGTTAGTGAAACATCTTATTTGTTTTACAAAGGCACATGTTGATTTTTGTCAAAGTAGGATTCCTTTAGATAAATTATTCGACAACCGATTATCTACCATTATGATACAAACCTCGTCTTTCAACCATAGCATATCACTTAGAATGCGTCTGCGGTTTTCTCCAGAAAATATCCAACCTCAAGGAATGTCCCCCCTTGTCCCCGGGATATTAGAGGCACAGCGGGAAATTCAGAGGAACTGTGAGTATTACCATTTAGATAGAGAAACCAGCAAGGATTTAATATACGAGATCGGTGTCCCATTCTTTATAGGTTGACTATTAATAAACATGGTATTTTTGCTCTTGATTTAGATCTACACTGTATAGATGAAAATTAAATATACGATAAACCTTTACAGTTTAATTAATTTAATTAATTTAATTAATTTGCCGGATTTGTTAACTGGATTTGAATTAAATGTTATTAAGTTTAATTAAACGACTATCATCATTTTGACGACGTTAAAATGTGGTGAAACTGGCGTCACAACATGGACATCGTTCCGCACAATACGTCCCTTCTTTATTATGAAATACGTGTTCTATCTCCGTGGTCAGCTGGTCAGTTGGTGGTATCCGGGAGGAAGGTCTCGGCCCGTATCTTGGTGTTTACAGACGGTCACCCTAGTGATGATAACGACGTCGGGGCGGAGGACGTACCATTTGGGTCCACCACGGTGAGTGCAGCGGGCTTCTTCCGGCGAACAGAATGTCATTTTTTGAATTTGTTACCTGTTGAAAAGAGTCATCACTTGTGAACATTGTGCCCTGAGAAACAGACTTTATACTTTGTGATGTGTACATGCGCTGCGTGTGCGTTCGCCAGCAGACTTTTGCCCCTTCACCTTTCCCAGTTTAAGATGGATCCCATGGACTGCACCCCGACATATAAAAAACAAGTTTATCTCAGCTGTCCTAGCTGACACTGAGTGAATTAACCGTGGACATTAATCAATTATTAACCTGTTAAAGAACATTTTGGCCGATATGTATTCTCCGTCGTTTTGTTTCAGGCGAAATATAAGACAGCGACGGCCCTTCAGATGTACGCTGATGATACAGACCGTCACAATAAAGCCGCCACCACTTTCATTGCTTGTGGGGGGAAGATTGATACGGTGAACTCTCTCTCTCTCTCTCTCTCTCTCTCTCTCTCTCTCAGTTTCTTGAAAATAAACGCTCCTAAACACGAAAACAACTATGTAGATTTTATTAGACTTAGACATGGGCTGATGAATACGTTATTGAGAGATGCACCTCTCTTCTACGTCAGTGTGCTTGAAATATACCTGTAGGCATTGAAATAGATGGTTTCTTTTTATTTATAATTGTGAGAAGAATTTTATAATTTCAGAATTTCCTGACATCCGTCGTTAAGATTGGGAATGGTGTACTTCTTTCAGCTGACGATGACGTCACTTGGCGGAAACTTGGCGGGTATTACAAAAGAAAGGTAAAACGCAAGTGGTTATGTTAATAAAAGCTCTTGGCAGTTCGTTTTCATTCATCGATTCATTCGTTTATTCACGCATTCATTAAGTTAGTTTAGTTTTCTAGTTATTTAAGTTAAGTAAGTTAGGCCCTGTATATCTTTATTTTAATTTATGATTCATTTGTTGCCAAGAATATGTTTTAACGCCTGCTTTGAAAGGTTTACCTATAAACGTTTCACTCATATTTGAAGAAAACGATGCCAGCAGTGTAATAATGGACAGATTATGCTCAGATTATAACATCTAGTAGGCCTATAAGCCCTTACATAATAGAATAATAGACCTATTTTGTTTTTACACCGCATTATACCCTATTGCAAGCATTTTGATACTTTTTATTTAGGTATGGGTGTGCCGATTTGCTGCTCCATTTAAAGGTAAGACAACTATCTTTTTTTTTCACTTACTGCCACCAGTGCCTTTGTTCTTCTCATTCATATTTTGCATAACAAAATTTGTTATTAATGATGTTTTTGTAACGGAAATTCTCTACGTTGTGGTACGTTGTACGCGCACGTTAAATGTAGGCCAGCTTTATCATTGCAACAAACACATCATAGAAATAATGTTTATACACATAGTTAATAATTAGGATATATACATGGAAACATGTAGGCCCTACCAGTACATGTTGTACACCTAGGCTTAGTAGTAGGCCTACTGCGAGGCCTAAATATTGTTTGTCTAACAAGCCTGATAATGATTATTCAAAAATGGGCATATAGGGCCTATATAGAGTACGTTCCCACGTGTAAATTACCAAATGCAATGAAACATGGATAACTCACTCTCTCTCTCTCTCTCTCTCTCTCTCTCTCTCTATATATATATATATATATGGGCTATGTGTATTGTCCTCTCAGGTACAGACGACATGAAGAGACTGGTGGGTCAGGACGTGAAAACATTTGAATACTGGATGAAGGCCACCAAGGGCGCCGAGATCATGGAGGCCGACATGAGTGAATTTGATATGGTATCACATCATCCTGTCTTTGCCTTAATGATGCTGTGTTCTTTGGGAGATTTATTTGCTTAGAACTCCCTGAATAGGGAGTCAGTTCCCCATTAGCTGGTACAGGTGACATTGGTCCCATAATCTACTGTAACCCCAATACCCCAACTAACCCTAACCTGTACTAATCATATGGGACCCCGGATTTCCATTTCTAGGAATATCATTCTTGTCGCAATCGATCTGAAAAAAAACAACAACATTTTTTAGAGATGAACTTTATGAAATCTTATTTATATTGGTGTAAAGCATCTGTAACTGAAGCTGCTGTTTTCTTTCTTTCGTTCGGACTTCATAGCGGTTCTCTTTCATTAACATTCCAGAAAGAAATGTTCAACATGATGCTAGAACTGCAAGAGAACGACAAAGATGACGACAGCAGGGAGAGTGACCCGGAAGTACAGGTCCATCTCCCAATAGGAACAAGGGTCCGGAGAGGCCCCGACTGGAAGTGGGAGGATCAAGATGGCGGCGGACCAGGCACTGTGGTCGGATATGGAAAACGAAGCAAGTGAAACTACTCTTTAAATTTATTTTCACTTTTGTTTAGTCTTTCTTGGTTATACTTGCAAGGAGTCATCCGTTCTTGTTACATAAAGCAACAAATGATGCGTCTGTTTATTTTTCATTTATGTCAGATTTACATTAACTTTTACTTTCGTTTTGTACAGGCATTCCTTTCTTTTTGTACAAGCATTATTAAATTGTAAAACAAATATTCGATGTTATTAATCTATTCAGCTTACAAGCATGCCAATAAAAATTAATTGATTTAATCTATTTTCCTGAGTTTGACCCAGTGGATAGCCAGTTTCTGAAATAAAATATGAGAAATATGTAGGCCTACCTGCTGCGTAATATTGGTGGCAATCATATCGAATGCATATTTGCAGAATGGGTGCTTGTTAACTGGGACGCTAACAGCCAGACAAGAAACTATCGCTTTGGAGAAGAAGATAAATATGACATATTTCAAGTGAATGAGCCACGAAAGCTGAAGGCAGACGAGTTGATAGCAGTTGGCGTCAAAGTTGTACGAGGTAAATGCAACAGCAATAAATGATTCTTATGCCAAATTGTTTTGATACAATCAGTCTTGGTCCAATGTTTAAATTGTGGGATTTTTAATATACACAAAGAAGATGCCGTTTGTTTTGGCCACGTGTGATATTGTTGGAAAGTTAATAGCTTACGCGTTCCCTATTTGCAAGTTATAATTAAGAGAAATCAAATAGGTAAAAGAATTTGTAGTTAGTGAGCACTTGATTAACTTTCTGAAGAGTCACAAAGTGTAAAACCTTTTTCTTTTAAGCAGGAAAAAGTTGGAAAAATGTCAAAGTTATATTAAGCTTTATATGATTGTTTAATTTCACAATCAAATTGTAAGTTTACAGCACGTGCATGACACATGTAAACTGAATTTTTATATGATCTAAATATGATAAAATTAAAATTTAGCTAATATTTAAAATTTTTTTAAATTGAAATTAAGTCAAGAAATTAGGTAATAAGGAAGTCTTGAATAGTGGAATGCAACATGAGAATGGAATATTACTGCTTATATATCACGCAAAATACAATGAAACGAAAACAAGTAAATGCGTGATCAGTGTGGAGAAATAGACTAAAACTGCTTGTGAATTTCTATAAAAAATCAATCGGTGAATAAACGCTTGGATGCTCTAATTCGTCTTCTTCACTATAGTAATACTATTAGAGGTCTGCGAACCAATCATACGTGACTGTTTAATGTTCTTAGGTCCGGATTGGAAGTGGCAAGACCAAGATGGCGGCAAGGGAAACGTTGGTGTAGTGTTTCGAGTTCAAGAAAATGGGCTGGTCAATGTAAGCACCTTTTACTTTGCCCTTAGGAACTGATATCCAAATAGCAGTTGATACAAATAAAGTTCAAATGGTAATGGTTTATTTCTGAAACCCTATTTTAAGAGTAAATTGCATAGATTAAACATAGATAATGAACTTATAGAAAACTTTTAAAAGAATATCATTTGCGTTTAAATTTAGTTTGTGTTGCGATATTTTATGTTAATTTATACGTTGACCTATTTAACTAGCTTTCCATGCAGAATTGTGCTTAGCTGTGCGGTACACATAAAACATTCTATAAAGATTACTGTTAAGACAGACGTTTCATTCAAAATTAGGTAATGTGGCCGACTAGGCAGGGATACGACTACAGATATGGGTTTGACGGATGCTTTGACCTGGAGATAGTGTAAGTTTTTTCCCTTTCTTTTTTGTCAATACAGGCCATGTGTATTACATCATTTTGAAAATTGCCAAGTTTGTTAAGAATTGATATGTTGCTAACAAGTACATGTATATTCTCAAGCTATTTGATTTAATTATTTTTGTCAGGGATGAGGAGACGACCCCTAACTCCACCCCGAACACTGCCGAAGGGGCAACGGGAATTCAGTTTAAAGGTATGGTCCTCAAATTGCTATAGCACCCGTAAAAATGTTTATTTTTGTTTGTTAATGTTTTTGGAAGACAAAATATACTAGTATACTATATGATTTATTTAACTTCATAATATAATGCAATAGGAAATATTGATTACAATTCTCGTGCCTGAATAAGTGAACGAAAATATCATCTGAAGGCTTACATAAGCAGTATTTTACTTTGTTTATACATGTACAAATGTACAACCATCATTATTGTACAACCATCATGAGCATTATTATTATCATCATTATTATTATTTTTATTATGTTCCCAAAAGCAGGTTATATATCAACAATGCTCACTGTTAATGCTGGTATTTTCACAATCTATAGAAGGAGAGCACGTGGTGTGGCAGTGGTTACGTAATATGGAGTGGGTGATGTACCCAAGTGACGTCAACATGCGTTTGGAGCATGCGTACCAGGATAACATCCGGGGCACTGTCGAGGTGGAGTTCATGGGACTGAGGTAAGACAACTTTATGACAGTATATGACTACCAACATCGGGCCTGGTTATTAATATTAGTGGCGAATTTAGAGGGGGGTGTCAGGGGATCCTGACCCCCCTTCCATTTCTGAAAGAAAACATCACACCAATGGCCCCCTCTTTCACTTTTGACTAGCTAAATCATAGTTCTAAACCGTAACAAGCACCGTTCGCCCTCTATATTACCAAAAATTTTCGTCCTCCTTCAACGAACCCCGAACCCCACGACAAGGGGGGGGGGGGGGGCGGTTGCATCGGCGGAAGCCCCCTTCAAATAATCCTGGACCAGTCCCTGATTAACCATTGAGAGAAATTTTGTTGGCTAATTCAGTAGGACATTTTGCACAGTTGAGGATCCTGATGTACACAGGTTGTGCCAGTTGAAGTTGAAACCTGAATTTGTATGAAATTTTCCTTAGGAAAAAAGGCATATTTTAATTCAACAAAAAGACAATAACCGACATTTTATATTGCAGACGCAGTATAAATTTTGCAACAATGTTGGATCACTGTAAAGACACTAATGAAGACTTCCAAATTCAGAGACTTGGTGAGGAGTGTTGCACGCAGTGTTATACTGTATATATCTGTAAAGCAAGAAACATGTACATTCTGCTTCATTTCCTTGTCAGGCAAATGTTGGCTAATAAAAAATAATAATATTTATTCATTATTTTAGTCTTTAGTCCAGATGACAAACTTCAAATAATGTGTATCGATTATGGTCTCTGTTACTGTATAATAATAATAATAATAATAATAATAATAATAATAATAATAATAATTCAAAATGTGTTGCCTAAATGCAGAATACTGTTTGACATAAGATATTTAAAGATGTACAGTTTATTATCAGACTTTTATATCGTATCTTTATGTTCTGTTTTCAGTTTTATCAGATGAACAGTTTGAAGTTGGACTAAAAAGCTTGACATAACTAGAACAGGTGCTTGGAAATCAAGGTTGAGTGCAATTTGCAAAGAGATCACTTGCAGTATTATTTGATTTTTTGAATTTCCCATTTCAATTCCTGTGACTGTAAAGCTTTGAAAGCATAAGTTTCCGATTTGTTGGAATTTTGATACTGGAGTATAGATTTTCATATTTCTACTGGACATTGCATAGTAAGTTAACAATATATTTTCATGCTCTGAATATATTCTTATGTATTCAACATAGACTGTTGTAATTGCGACAAAAGAAGACGTTTGAAACAAATCATTTTGCACTTGCAAAGCATTAATGTCCGTTTGCTTGTAAACTTACCACTTGTTTTGATAGCGTATTTGAACACTAAAGATTTTAAATTGGCATGTTATGTTTAGTGTGGTGTATATAATGTGTAGTATTTAGTACTGGGCAATTCATTTCCCAAATAAATATCGCAAAATGATGCTTTTATAATAAATCCAATAAAATAAGTACAAATTTACTGTTTTGGTGTCACTGTTATTCCCATTGGGATGGTGAGTGAACTTCGATCGTTTTCGGCCAGAAGAGAAGTGGTTGCCAAAGGCTCTTTGATACAGCAGCAACATCTAATGATGGGCAAAATGACCGAAAAATGGGACAAGGCGGCCAACGTGAACCCTAAATTACTCCGGCGGTACCCCTTTCTCCCTCTTCTTCTTGCCAAAAATCAGTATAACACACGTATTATTATAAAAAAACAATAAATAACAGTTAGAATGCACCAGAATGCAGTATTATACATAGTTTTTAAAAATTTTCCACACCGTAGGCTTCGCCCCCTCGTGTCCGCTTACTGCCCCCCTGGCATTTTGCCCAGGCTACGGTCCTGAATGCACCTCCGTGTTTGACCAACCTGGGCTCCGTATCTCGAAAGGTTCGCTATGTTGCGCACGTGTGTTAGTGTCTCGATTGCGTACGTGCAAGTGAGTCTCGATTTCATGGCCCCGTATCTCGAAATAGAATCGGTTATGGAATCGAGACACTAACACACGTGCGCAACATAGCGAACCTTTCGAGATACGAAGCCCTGATATAATTCGATAGCGTGTAGCCCCACAAAAATGGGATTCTTGTTCTGTTTATAGTGTAGTTGCATCAAAATACTAATTGATTAAAATTGAATCTTCAACAATATTAAACGGAATTAAATATCACAAGAAAATCTCCGTGTTTGGCCTAATAATTAGCTTAACTGTTTCATTGTAGAATTTACAGGCTAAATCAGGTCCAAAACGTACGCTTGACCTCGTTCTCATATCGAGGCACGACGTTTTGACCATTTGGTGGTGTTATCGCGCCAACATTTTTGTGTAGTTACTCTGAGACCCTAAAGATGGCGTAATGAACTCCTGCATAAAGCAACGCGTGACCATTTTGCACTTGTTGGAGTAAACAAAAAAATCCCCGACCAAGAGGTCACTATACAGTGTATTATAAATGCCATAAATCAATACATGCAAGTCAGCTGCAAGTCACCAGTATGACTTCTTGGAAATGTTGAATTAACCTAGTTTTCACAGCTGGTCGTTTTTTTTTATCTTAGATGGAAAATTGATTGGTTATATTGCCTTTTTAAAGTCAAGGTTATCCACAATGTAAGCAAAGCTTACTGAACCAATGTTTTTATTTTGTGTAGTTAACCCGAGCAGGGAATTATATCAGATATATATCCGATATAATTCCCTGACCCGAGACGCTAAAGGTGGCTTAAAGATAGTGCTTAAAAGCCCAAGTGTGTGTAAAAGCCCCTTCTTGAACACTTTAAATAGTCTAAAAATACATCTTTAAAGTAATCATGATTGCCTCGACAATTTAGATATTGCATTTTAGTCACTATATAGCCTGGTCGTTGCAAAACTGGTGTTAAAGATCAGACGCCTCTCCCCCTCCAACCTCCAAAGTGCACTTAGTCTTTAAAAGTAAAAAAATTAAGGAATAGGCGATAACTGACTACTAGCGGACTCTGTGGCCAGAGAGTAAACTATGGCGAAATACTGGGTAAAAATAGTGCACTACAATGGAGTGTTGCATTGCCATATTTTTACCCGCATCGCAGATAACAGTTATTGGTCGAGGCGTCCAGAGTTAGGATAGCTATTTACCTGACACTTCCATTTTTGTTTTTACTTGCTATTCCAGGAATATTTTTCAGTCACGACTTTCAGCCAAATTTGTTTGAACTATCTATACAATCAGAATTGTCTTGAATTTATTGAAACAAATTCCTATCCAATCTCATAATACCATGCATTTTAATATTTTCAGTTTATTTGATCAATGTCAGGCCTACCCAACTACCAGACTCGGCACCGAATGATCCCGAATTCACCGGTAGATCGGACCACACTACCCGTTTTCAAGGTGTGAGTCAGTACGCATTTCACAGTATCATACCCCGAACAAATTTTGAGTGGTAATGCAATACTTTTCAACCTCGCTGAGAATCGTCACTATCACATCGCGTACTAGGCAAGAGCGGTGTCGCGTCTGATACTGTGAAATGCGTGCTGATACACACCTTGAAAACGGGTAGTGTGGTCCGATCTACCGGTGAATTCAGGATCATTCGGTGCCGAGTCTGGTAGTTGGGAAGGCCTGAACGTGCAGAATCACCCGTTGATAATAGTATGACCTCTATAATAGCCCTTTGGGTTATTTGGACTCTTTTAAATTAATTGTGTACAGAGTAGGTAAACCCAGGTGTTTTCAAATAAAGATTACCGGCGGTGCATTATTCAGGCAAATAATTATGCTGAGACGGTGAATAGGTGTTGTTCATGTCACTAGGCACCGCATCAATACTCGGCGAATGTTTTGGACCTGGCAGTAGCATCCCTGGTAGAGGGATTTTTATTTTGGAATTTTGGGGGACTTGCACAGTCATCATTTTACGATTAAAGGGAAAACTGAATTTTGTGAAGTTATCAAAGAAGGCTGTGTTAACTGTATCCTGTGTAGTTTTGCCAGGTAGGCCTATAATATATGTGTTATACGCAGAGACTTAAATGAAAAGATGCGTCGTTTTCACTAATTATAACCTGTTGCCCCAGAAACGTTCTGTTTAGTCAGGTGCTCCACTCCTGTCTAAGGAGTAGGAGATCAATAGAGATTAAGGAACTCAGTCCCATAATTTCTATTGAGTTTTGCCACATAAAGGATGGTGTTAATAGGTTCATGGACTTAACGGTGAGAGTCACCCTTTGCCTTGCCCAGTATTTTGATAATTTTTTTTTTTTTTTTTTTTTGCCATGGTGGAAGTTATAACATTGTGTGTCGTTTTTTCTTGTTGCTGGCTAAGGGCCGATTTTTGGTCACGTTTTTGGATAGAGTTTTTAATGTTTTGACAATCTCTCCGATGTATAATTTCCCACTAGTCGGGCACTAGCACTGGTACACCACACCGCACTGTTCTTACTTGATTATCATACCGTTGGTTTCCATGCTTTCTGGTTTCTAGTATTAACGTCAGTGACATGAATGCGGGGACAAGAAAAGAAGTTGGTAAAATTAATTGCCTTCAAATTCGTAATTATGTACTATGTTTTTGAGTTTTTACATGTACACAGTAATCGTGAAGAAGTTTTATAAAAATAGCCTAACAAAACACCTCCGGGCGTTTTTAAAGTTATCCTAAGTTTTCCAAGTCCTCCCACGTGTCTCTTTAGCAAGAGGTAGATTTTAATTAGTTTCTCATGTTTTACAGGTTGAAGACACAATGACAGGAAACTGGTGGAGAGTATTTTCATTTTTGCTGCTGTCTGCGACGGCCGTTGAAGGTTGGTCGTAGTATACGGCACCGTATATGAGAAAAATGATAGGTTCAGTTGTAAACCATTGCATTTTAAATAGATCATTATAACGAAAACCTGTACAGTTTGAAATAAAAAAAGGAAAATAAACAGATAGTCGCATTAAATATTCGTATCTTTCGATTTCTTCTTTCAGGGAGCACTTTTTATATGGACAACTCTACAGGGTCGTGTACCTCAAGCTACAAGGACATGTACATGTATTCCTCCAGCCACACGGTGAAGGCGTGGAATCCCGGCAAGACCCAAATGTTTGCTTCCTACTGTTATATGGTTTTCAATGGATATTTGAACAAATTGGCGATGAATTTTTCTTCCTTTTCTGCTACCAGCTCCATCAATCTTAGATTTGACGATTTTTATGGATATTCTCTCAAGGAGTTGGTAAGTGGAAAGGCCGGTGCGCTTGGCGAGCCATATCACCAGCTGGAACGCCGGATTGTGCGCCAATTTGCTGCTTTAGTTTTTTCATGTATTTTTCCAAATGAAATTTGAGTTGTACACAGAGTGTAGATCTCACCTACATGTACACTGAATCTGGTGATATGATGGCTCATGCTTACCATGACCATGCGGGAGGAAATTGCAGTGTTTCTACAGTATAATTGTCAAGAAAAATTCCGTCAACACATTGCTAATCTAAGGTTGAAATACCCTGGATTTAAAAATCTCCTAACAAACTTTAACACCAGCATACACAAACACACACACACACATATACATCACCGGCTTTTCTGTATTCTACCCAACGCCAAGAGAAGTCTTCTGAAGGAAGGAGCCCTTATTAGGATAACCAACACACAAATTTAAAGAAGGTTTATTTGTTCTCTATATACAAAAATACTTAAATTACTCGCGGAGGAATGAGGCGAGATTTGTGATTTGTTATTTATGTGAAACTTGTTGGTGTCATGTTGAAAATATTTTAACTGCTTCAGTTGTAAAATAAAGCTTCTTATCAAACGTTCATGAAGGCAAGAAACCAGCTAGAAAATAACACGTGTTCTGCTGGGCAAAACGAAGATTGAAATTGATTTAGCAAGGCCACTTTGTAAACATGCTCTTTTTGTAAAAAATTGTCGCAAATTCAATGTCTGTGAAAAATGTTAAATGCATATCTATAACGGTATGTTTTCTAGTTAATTTTAGATAACTCAAGCTCGACCCCATCATCCACGTACTATACAATCGGGCCCTATCTGCGTGTAAACCTCACCATGTCCATCCCCTACAGCACAGGATATAGTTTTGAGTTCAACGTGTGGATATACAACGGCACTTCAACCACGCTGGGGACCCGGGCACGTAAGTACATGTGTAAATACACCAGTACGCACCCCTGTCTGCACATCTACTGTACATGTGCCGCTGCGTGAGTAGCAGAATACTTCTATTAACTTCTGAATAATAGGTATCTTTTTTAATACTGATAGTTAACGTAGGTACCGGTATATATGTGGTATATTAAAGGTGGAATATATGTTTTAAAATTTAACAAGGTGGGTATTTTATCGAAAAAACAAATTAATTCACGACAATTAAGGTGATGGAAAACGGGGACGGTGTTAGCAGGGCGAATTCGCTTGCTTTTTTGTATTTTCATCTAGGAAGCCTATGTTTTATTTATATTTTTGTATTTTTTTCATCTGAAGTCATCATGTCATCATTGAATTGATACCTTGATCCATTTGTACGTTTATGCGTTCATTTCTAGTTCCTATCTCAATGGACAACAGCCAGCACTGTTCTCCAAATTTCATATATGTGAACAGCGGCCAGTACCTGTGGGTGACCGCATGGTCCCCTTCCAACACCTACAGGTCCACTACCAGCTCTTGCACCATGTACTTCAGGCCAGCGAACTCTGTAGACATTATGGCTATCTCCTTTGCATCTGGAAGTCTTTCCATCAGCAACAGCCATGTGACGTTGAGTTTTTATGACGAGACCGGTACCTCCAGGGATAAGCTTGTAAGTGGGTTTGGTGTGTGTTTATGTCGACCTACTTTGAATTTAAATTGATCGCAATGACGTACTGAGTCTCTAAATGCAATACAACGTAACACCATAGATGGTAATGTGGTATACGTGGGACTATTTCCGGTTGTGCATATAGGCGTATTGATAACAGCAGTCTTGCCTTATTCATATAATTTGTCCATGGCCGAGGTAACCATACACAATTGCTCCCTGACGAAGGACAGACCTTGATTGTTTTTCAAACCAAACATATATTCCTGCCCCTTCATTCTGAATTCGACCTTACCGATCAGAAAATATGGTAGCATGATTAACAATCGCGACCAAACATCATTTTGAGGCTCCCAGAAAATGTATCTATCATTTATGTACCCACTTGTATTTATCATTAAATGGAAAAATGGATAATGTATTTATAAACTAGAGGATCAGAGAGGCGATACCGCCTCCGAATATTGTATCACCAGCTGGAGTAAGCGCATTCGTATAGACCCCCCCACACAAAAAAAAGGGACACCACCACCAGTCTTGTGCTTGACAAGCTGTAAAAATGCAATCAACAAGAATTTTCAAAATATGCAAAAAATATATATAACTAAAAATGGTACAATAAAAGTTTAGTTCATAGTAAGGTAGGCCAATTTCAAGGTCACAGTAAATTGCCAGTATATGACTTCCTATTCAACGTCAATAGTAACTATGGACCTATCTCTGCCAGGTTTGGAGTTAAAAGAGAAAGAAATTAGCAGAGTTCAGTTCATGATAAAAAGTAGGTCAAAGGTCAATTTCAAGGTCACACTTAGATTGCCAGTATATGACTTCCTATTCAAGTTCAATTGTAACTATGGACCTATCTCTGGCAGTTTTGGAGATAAAAGGGAACCAAAATTTGCAAAGTTCAATTCATGATGAAAAGTAGGTCAAAGGTCAGTTTCAAGGTCACATTTAGATTGCCAGTATATGACTTCCTTTTCAAGTTCAATAGTAACTATGGACCTATCTCTGCCAGGTTTGGAGATATAAGGGACTAAATGTTGTAATTTTGGAGTTACAATAATGTGCCATAAATTTCCTACAGAAAAAAATTAGTTAAAATAAAGAAAAGGTCATTTTGGTTGAAATTCTTGAAATGGGAGGTGCTCAGAAGTTCCAGATGTTCAAATTTTATGAAATAATGTCATTTTTGACCAGAAGTTGTCTGCCTCGCCAAGCCTTATGTTTTATTTTCCCGGGGTTGAAAATCTATTATCCATTACCGTACTGCACATTTTGCTTTCACCACCAATATGTACTTTTTGATACAGCATAACTCGAAAACCGTATGGAATACAAAAAAAAAAAAAAAAAAAAAAAAAAAAAAAAAAAAAAAACGGAGACCACACCAGTGTTGGGCTTTATATGCTCTACAAAATGCAAAAAAAGAATGGGTCTCTAGCATTAACGGTTCCCGAATTAGTTTTCAGTTTCGGTATCTTATGGCCGCTACTCCCGTGAAAATGCACCGAATGACCCCAAATTCACGGAGATGAAAGGTGACCCGAAGGGTAACACTTTCCAAGGCTGTGAAAAATTATTAATTTCAGAAATAGGGGGACTGGGATTCAGTGGAAGTTGTATTCACTTCTATCTCTCCTAAGAAACTGTCTATCCTGAATATTTCATTAAAAATTGTGAGGTTTTTGACACATTATTTCCACTTACAAGTCAATGTTGATGAAAAAAAAGAACTTCTTTTGTTGATGGAGGTAAAAAATGACTTTGCGGTAATGATAATCTTAGTCTGGTTAATTTAAATAAAAAGTCGACCCCCCCCCCCTTGGTCCCGAAAAATTGGTATTTTAGAGGGCGAACGATGTCATTTGGTATTGTTTAGAACTATGATTCAGTTAGTCAAAATTTTAATTTCAATTCAGAAATCGAAGGGAGGGTCAGCCCCCCTGAACCCCATCTAAAGCCGCCACTGACCTACCAATTTATTCTATAACTTCTGGGACTAACAGTTCGTAGATCAATACATAGCGGTTTTAGAAGGTTCATACAAGTACTTCCCTTTGGCTGTACTGGTTATTATATTGGTTATAGTGCTGAGGTGTGCACCTCTCTTTCGTATGAAAGCGAGTGTGTATAATAAATATATATACATATGTATAATGAATATTAATAAATACCAACAAAAAATCATCAACAATCCCTAACCCTCGTGTGAATAATCTTGAAATGATGGTGTTGACTTCTGAAATTGAAATGATGCTGGCATATTGTGTGAAATATCATGATGGTTATTCTTTGTGTCAGCATTTGGTCATTAGACAGCGTTTCCTCTTGGGAAAACAGCGTATAATAACCCTTAAAAAGATGTATCATTCATGCTTACACAGTAAATCTATGGTGTTTCTAAAAATTATTTTATTAAAATACGTTTGAGGGTGTGTTTCTACAAGGAATATAGGAATTATATATCTTATTCCTTGGTTAGAATTCTCAAATTTAACATTTCTTTCAGTTTCATCTGGTTTGTCTGACGGTGCCATTGCGGGAATTGTTATTGGTTCAGTGGCTGCCGTCGTTCTGTTAGGGATCGTGATTAAGGTTTGCTCATCAGCCAAGAAATCATCCCCAAGAACCCGGATCAGACCGCGTGAGTTTCTTTTCGTATACCTTCCATTTTAGTGTGCGAAAGAGAGGGGGCATTTCCGTTGGATGTGGAAGTGGGTATTTAGAGAGGGATGTATGGGAACGATGCTTATCGAATATGTGTCACAGGGACCATTCGCATAGATATTTGGATCGATCTATCTCCCTGGGAAGTCTCACTAAATTGCTATCAACTTCCAGAGAATCCGTCCCTTCCCCCATCTCTGTTACAACGCTGTCAGTTTTTCTTTAAAAGAAATGACTAAAAATAGTATGTTGCATGTTTCATTTGCGTGAATGTGTTAACGCATTTTTTAGTTTTCAAAACACCCAGGCAAATCATTGTGACACACAAGACCAAAATTGCTTAGCATGTGTAATTTTTTTTCAAACGTGATATGTCTTTTGCAGATGCCACACCTCATATAGGGGGAGCCAGTCTCAACACAGCTGCCTCGACGGTCAACTACACCACCATCTCCGGACAGATGGGAATGCAGAACCAGCAGTATGGCGGATTTGCTCCTCACGGCCCAGCCTATTTTCCCCCGTCACAAGGTTTTGGGCCAATCACACCAGTGGACCCCGCCTACCCCCTGCCGTCACATTATTTCAACCCAGACTCCGCCCTTCCACCTTCTTACATGGAGGCTACTGGCGGTGATGGCCAATACGCCCCGCCTCCACCACCGGCTTCGTATATATACGGCTCAGCGTTTGGCCAAACAAACTCTGGGCAGACACCTGGTATTTCGGACAGTGGTTAATCGTAGGGGAGATCCTAGGCATCAACAGAAGAGGCGTACAGGTTAAGACCCACTCACTCAAATGCTTCGACAAACGTATGGCATAAGTGTGCATTTGTCCTTAGCAAAATATCAGGTCAGACGCAAACTCTCTCGCAAATTCAAGAACGTCAATGCTTTCTTGCAACTTTATTGCAAACTTGAGATGTTCATGCAATTTTGCTTCAAATTAGCAGCTATCAAAAAGTTTCTCAAAGTTTCTGCAAATTTGTTGCCGTAAACTTGTAGTTTGCATCAAATTTGTCGCAATATTACGGAAATCTTGCTGCAAAATTTTCATTTTGCTAAAGATGGACAACACAGGATTGCTGTAGTACCCAAAATGGCATGATCGGATGATTGCCTTTGCTTAATGCTCCAGTGGCATCTACTGGAGAGTTCTATCTGTGCCAAAGATTTCCCATAAAATGGTTTTGTTGAGGCAGCCAGGTCCGACATTATAGAAAATTATCTGAGCCACATTCGCCATGGTAGATACAATCTCTAGAACGAAAAAATTATTTAGGAAAAATTCGAGGCAAAAGTAATTGACTGTTTTAATTTTATTTTTTCAACTTTAAGTAAGCGTTAAAGTTTTGCTTTAATCATTTCTGTGTCGCTTTTGTTAGGCCGCATTATTCTGTCCATGACTACTTATTAAAGCTTGTTGAAGCTTATTAAAGCTTGTTGAACATTGGTCATAAGATTCGTGGCTCTTTACCCATTATGCATCATTACATATTATATATGTGAAGAAATGTCATCAGTGCTCTTCGTCCCGTGTGGGACATAAGGCCACAGTCACTTCTTTCCATTTGGCCCTGTCTCTGGCTACGTGCTGGGCCTGTCCCCATGTAAGGTCCAGCTCCCTCAGCTCTGCCATCACTGTTCGGCGCCAGGTGGTCTTGGGCCTTCATCTCTTTCTTTTTCCGGGTGGTGTCCATCTCAAAGCTACCTTTGGTACTCGGTTCTCGTCCATCCTAAGTACATGGCCGAGCCATTTAAATCGCCGTCGCTTGATCTGCCTCACAATACTCTGGCTGCCTGTCAGTATGTACAGGTCATGGTTGGAGATCTTATTTGGCCAGAATATGCGGCAGATCCTGCGGAGACACCTGTTATGGAAGTACTCCACTCTGCTTATGTCAGACTTCGTAACTCTCCAGCATTCAGACCCGTAGAGCAGAACAGACTTCACACTGCTGTTGTAAAGATGGACTTTGGTGTGTAAGCTGTACTGCTCCGACTTCCAGATTGTGCGGAGTCTGAAGAAATGTGACTCACTAATAAGTAATATTTTGTAAATCTGCGTGAAAAATAAGATGAACGATTACAATATAATATTTTGCTTAGAGAGAGAATAGGGCATAAATACAAAGAACAAGTATACTGAAACACGAGTAAATGTTCAGTACTTGTAGTCCTGTAGAAAGCATTTTACTCAACTAAATGATAAGTCGAAGGTTATATCACAGAGAGTACAATGTATATGAAAAGAATTGCCTTATTATCACGCCATGAACTTACTTATTTATATTTATACGGAATATCTTGAAAAAAATTAGAAAAGAAGAATAACTTCATTGTCAATCCATGAGGTTTATTGATACAGTTATATATCGTACAATGGTTTGTGATATAGACTTTTTTAAATTTACTTTAAAGCTTCGTCTATAATTAACTCTATTATTTATTTTGCCTTGTTTGAAATCCACTGACCGGCAGAAGTCCTCGGTAGAAAGATGCACTGTCCTCTTTGTCACAACTTTGTATGTCCAGTAAATGATAAACAAAATTTTGAGAAAAACATTGCACTAAGGCCCTACTGTTACAGTCGTTGCTGCAATTACTCATCCATGTACAATGTGCATGGACACATCAACACATACAATGTAAACCAATAGAAAATATAATAATGTCTGCAAAAAGCTTAATGATCTTAATCACATTATTATCAGTTGTTCAAGATATGTAAATCCGCCATTACGTCATATAAAATGATAAATGGATATATATTATAGAATACCATTATAAACATTGCTACATTTAGCCTTATTATGACCCACTCACTCGCCACTACGATGTACTTGACTACAATAAACTAAAGTTGGGAGGGTAAAAGACAGTTGTCACAAACTAAGTTCAATGTCGAAGACGACTGTGGGTTTATACATGTATATTTGCAGACACCATACGGGTACGCAGCCGATCGAGGGCCAAGTTTAAATTTTGTGATTGATGATTTAAGTAACAAATATAATTCTGATTGAGAAATCAGTAAGCATTTTATCTTTTAGGGCCTAAATTTTACTCATTGGAAGTTTCAAGAAGGATTGCTAGTTATTTACATAGCTTCAAGGACTAATATGACAGGTACCGAATTATCAAAATATGGCGCGAGAGGCACAAATCTCGAACGTTACTCTAGAGAATTTTGGCAGGGTGTTTACAAAATTACCGGTTACAAGCCTAAAGCTAAACTCTCACCCTCAGATGACACCAGCCTATACCAGACCAACTGAATGAATTGTACGCCTAATTCAATAGACCAAAAATCAGATAGTACGGGATCTTTTTTTAAGTGTTAGGCCTACCCCTCAGTCATCGAGGGATTGAGTTGGCCATTTGGGGGTCTGGAGCTGGTTCGTATATAAACAGTCTTCTAGTGAATTGGCTGTACGTGGAGTAGCATTATCATACTGAAACATAAATGTATGGTCATGGTCCCTAAATATTTTCTCAAAAGAATTCTTTAAGCTCCTATTCAGTGCTTGGATGCATTGCTCGGCATTTTTGCTAGATAAATATAAAACCTAGTTTACTGTGTCAAAGAGGACCTATTGGGGTTTGAGAAATCACATATTGTGCACACCGTATAGTGTCTGTCACATCTGGAGAAGAAAACCGGTGGTAGACAGTGTCAGGAATAGATAGCAAGGAAACAGAAACTGGCCGAAATTTAACTTGTTAATAAACTAAATACTACCTCTTAAAGTATTTATGTATCAAATACAAGTCGAAAAACTTTCATACCGTGAGCCTTGGACACAATAATAATAATAATTCCTTTTTATGTCCAAGCGTGAGCTTTTACGGCCAACCTGGACGTAGGCCTTCACCAGACTGATGTGAACAGAAGAGGGTCCTGGCCGCTATACCACCTAGCGGTCAGTGAGGGTCAACATGTGTTTGATAATTTTCATTTATGAACTACTACCTCTTTAATTCTTTCTCGTTAAAATTCATACACTCATTTTTTAAATTTATAGTCTTTTTTACAAAAAGGTGTTATAGCGTTAACAGTTTCGTGTAGTTACATCGAGACCCTAAAGATGGCGTAATGATTACGTTCACACTCAAAAAAATCCCCATGTGTATTAAAGTCTCCACTACAAAGCCCATTTTAGCCACAACAAAGAACGTTATGTTGACTACACCTGCAGTGTTTACGACTTTTGTACTTCTTGGCGTAAAAAAAAATTTTCGTTCAATATTTTCCGGACTTGAAAATTAAGATCCCTGAAGCTGCACTGGTCGGCAATTCTAGTATGGACGGTAAGTCCTAAAATTGCCGTTTAAGATAATTTTCATTCCCTCCGAAATCTGTGCTTTGCTTTGTTTCATGCTATGATACTACCAGACCCAGACTTGTGTCGCAGGAAATGCAGAAATGCAATACAGTAATTTTCACCCAATATGTGAGAATTCTTCAACTGACAAAAACGTTATACGCAAAACTTATAAAGGTATGCATGCTTGCTTAAACGTATTTTAGAGACTTTGCGCCCCACTATCCGTCTACAAATTCATTTATATTTACAATACAATACCTAGCCAACTGGAGCACCCAGTCAACAAATAACATCACAGAGGACAGCCGCTCTAGAACACTGTCGAGAGATATCTGCATTGACAAATGGCAGCACAATCTTGCTGTGTAACGACGAGGAGGGCACGTGTCAAGATAAAGTGGATAACTGGTTTGAAAGGATATGGAGTGATGCATCCAGTGAATAAAAGGTAAAACTAATTCATAGATAAGATAATTTCAACGATGTATTATATTACTTAAGTACGTCGTACGGTGTGATCCTGTTGTGACACCAAAGGTTCATATCGTGAATATATTTAGATTCCCCACATCGCCAGTTGTTTTATTTTGTTTATAAACTATAAACCATATTGGAATCGTATCAGAACATTAATTATGGATCTCTCTCTCTCGCAATATTCTACTGAAAATGCCGGTATTTGAAACAAGTTGTATCTTCAAATCATAAATATTATGTGCATTGAGTAATTATTTTACCCACAGTTGTTGTTTTCACAGTTTCTCAACAATCTTTTAAACTTTTTTTGTCAATTATATTTTATTTAATTACAGCCTCCCAGCATACACGCAGACCAAAGGGGACCGCATTTGAAGCCACTTGACGGAAAAATATAATTTCATGAATTTGGGTCGCCCATGTATATGTATATGTTATCGTTTTAATAACATATGTTAAGGCCATATTGACTTGAACAACTTGAGTATAATTATGAATTTGTTTTTGTTACGCTGATTGCATATATATTACGTATATTCAGGACTAGTGAAATATTTCATACTCTCTGCTCACTTGAAATAAATTATCTGTTTATCTAGGTCATTTCCCTATATTTGTATAAAATGACATTTAATTCATAGCACTGCCTAATATTTATAACCCTATATTCTGAAGTTTAACAAAAACACTGAAAACATAGGGTCATCAAAATGACTACCTCAGGGTCATCAAATGAGTAAACCTAAAACGAGGACCCAGGTAGTCATAATCTGTATTTGATGGCCTGGCAGGGCCATCATATCTCACCTGGTGAATACCCTTGGTAGTCATTTGATTACTTGGGTTGTCAAATTACATGTAGGTTGATGCTTTCATGTAGTTTGGGAGGAGATGAGTACTGCTTGCAATCTTTATTTACCATTGGCCTGCGTGTAATTAGTGTGTTTTAGAGTGTTGTATTAGTATTGTGTAATGTTGCTCAATAATTGTTGTGACATAAGAAAGCTGAAACAAGGTTTAGTAAGAATAATAAACTTTTATTTTCATAATAAATATCTGTCTTTTCAATACAAGTTATACTTCTTTGCAAAATACTTTTTTTACATCAATACCGTTATGCTTTGCAATTTGATCACAAAAACTATAAGCTATACACATCTTCAATGATCTGCTTTGTACATGTACAGTGCCTATCATTTAGTTGGTGAACATCATCAAAGCATTTTAGTTCAACAGATTTAATTATGAAAATAATGTAACCAGAAAAATCATTACAAGTTTCAAATGTAATGTGTAAACAGCTAAATCTTACATTCATTGATCTTATAATTGCATTAAAAATTTTATGTAGTTACATAAACAGTATCAACTCGTACTGGATCTTCCTTTACAAAGAATCTTATCAATTTTATCTCCAAAACAGTATATTATGATGAGCAAGAAAGACAGCTTTCTAGAAATTAGAATTTTGACCACCTGGATGATAGTTCTAAGCGTACCAAAGATCATCGTTTGCCCTCCAAAACACCGAAAAAAAAATTGGGGCACTTCAGCAGGCCCTGAACACCACGCCAAGGGGGCTATAATCAGCTTTGCCCCCTTTCAAATAATCCCGGTTCCGCCTCTTCCAATTAAACGAAGAAGTTTAGCCTTCTGGTGATCTAGTTATAAATATTTCATATTGACGTATTGCAGAAATATATAAAAGTCCATAGCCCATAAATTCAAAGGGCTGTTTAAAAGACCAGGGAGCAGATTTCACGATTCTAGGACAACCCCCCCCTCCGGACTATTCCCCCGAAACCCCC